ACCTCAGCACGGGAAAAAAATCAATTAAATGTATTTCTTTGTCTGCAGGGGACTATATTCTCTATTTCCATCATATGTGCTCGGAGTGGTGGTGGGAGGGGGCGGAAGAAAGCAGCAATAACAACCTCACAAATGCTGAGCCAAATCCCAGGCTGCTACAAGTCAAACGACACCACAAAAGACACCTCAGCAGTGGTCTTAGAACTCAGTTACACATGGCGGCATGTACTTACTTATGAGGATTGATTTGATGCCAAAGACACATTTGTGTAACATCCAGCGACTCCATTTAAAGGACGCTTTCAGTGGAATTTTAAATTACAAGACAAAGAACAAGGAAAGCTATCCAATTCTACCTCTTTGTTCTTGCCAGACTGCTGTTTCGCTCTTGCTAAAATAAGAACCAATAAGAACTTTGAGGCAGCCAACTAAGAAGAATATCCTTCAAAAGCTTTCTGAACAACATCCATATGTTATTGCTACAAAGAAACACTGTTAAAGTATCATAAAGAGCTTTCCGGCGCTCCAGTAAGGGATCTTGAAACCAAATTCTTCTTGCGCTATAAAACACGTAATCCTTCAACTGTTGATATAACTACATTTGTCTTCCAAGGAAAATGATATGAGAGCTGCCAGCACAAACATACATAGAGATTTATCCTTGTCAACGGCTTACTTAATGAAAATCTCAGTAGAAAAATGACATTCATGCTTCATCTGTGCTAATGCTTAACTGTTCCTGTGAGGACTTGATACATAAGTGTGTGCGTGTGAGGTTAATGATGCTGCCCTTTACTGTAACGACAGTAATGATCACCAGAGTATAAGAGCACATCTGGGTGCTTCAGATCATAGGGTGCAGCGGTGAAGACAGATCAACATGGGAGGCAGATGATGCGTGAATAACGTAATGCAAAGGGGGGGGGGGGGGGGGGGGGGGGGGGGGGGGGGGGGGGGGGGGGGGGGGGGGGGGGGGGGGGGGGGGATTATCGTAACCACTGTATGTCCAGAAGAGACATGATTTGCCACGGTTGAGAGGAAACAGAGCCCTTTACCGTGCAGACAGGAAGACAAACAACACACTTGCCCCAGTGCTCTGTTTTTCTTCAATATGTTCTTAACAATAAACCCTAGTTTCTGCAATTCCTCGCTCGTTTCGATTGTTTTCTCCTTAAAAAAAACCTACAGTCTCTCCATTGAGATATTTTTACCAGGCGCCTGTTTGCCCTGCGGGGAACTCCTACTTCTTGGAAGTTCCTACAATTCCTTCGCTTTGCAGCAAACATACAAAAAAAAACAAAAAAAAAACAAACAAAACAAAAACAAAAAACAAACAAGTCAGTTAGTTTTTCTTGGAATTTTGTTTTGTGGGAATTTCTCAACACACAAAGCTTATGACACTAGAACTAATGTATCTGCTTCTTTATTAGATGTGGGTACAGCAAGTAAAAAACCTTAGTATTTGAGATGTAGCTGGTTATGTATTAGTGTAGATTTCAAGTTTAAAATGTGTGAGCCACTTTTGTAAAAATATAGAAATTATATGAGTTTTACATTAGGGATGCACTGAATATTCGGTAACTGAATATATTCGGCCGAATATTGCAAAAAAAACACACATTCGGTATTCGGTGGAATAAGTGAAAAGCAAGGCCGAATAATAGTGGCATGTTTTGATAACGCAATCAAACAGCGTGCGGTGACAGACGGAGTAAAATGTCGGCAGTGTGGCGATATTTTACTCCGTCCGTCACCGCACTCGCATTTGCGACTAAAAATAGTTTTGTGTGGGGAAAATAAATCATTCAGCACGCTGTGTGAGTACAGATTTCAACCAGCAGCAAGAACGAAATGGCGAATCCTGCCGAATCTGCAAAAACTAATGAAAAACTAAACAACGGCATTCGGTATTCGGTACTCGATATTCGGCCAAGCGTTTAATATTATTCGGCTTCGGCCACAAATTTTCATTTCGGTGCACCCCTATTTTACATAATAAAATTCCCAAATAATTCATATACTCATCTCTCCTTATCCTTAAAACACACAAATATAAAACAAGTACACAGCTACAGGGCCCGTACCATTCGTTCATTTGAATTTCAATTACGAACGAAAAACAATAAAATGGAAAAATGATTTGTTATTTCATTGTCTGTTTTTCAATGTCAAACAAAAAAACTGATTTCGATCTCTTTTTCAAATATTTAATTTCATGTTCAGGTCAAATATACAACATTTAAAAAACGGTCTCGATGCCAATTTTGATTTTGATATTCATTTATTCTTTTATGTATGACCCGGAAGTCAATCTGCAGCTTTTTTCCTCACATAGCCAATGGTAATGGCTCACATACAAGCTAGTTAGCATCAGCATTTAAAAACCAGTCTCGATTTTGATTTTGATATTTATTTATTATTTTATGTATGACCCGGAAGTCAATCCACAGCTTTTTTCCCCCACATAGCCAATGGTAACGGCTCACATACAAGCTAGTTAGCGTCAGCAGCGGTGGCAAAACTCAGACGAAGACAAGATCACTGCTGATCTAGCAGAGCCTTCGAGAGCAATGCCGATGTTACAGAGTCAAAGTTATGTTTTACGTCGCGACAACAAGCGCATAATCCTTGGGACTCCAAGGCAGCTATAATAGCTATAACAACAGCCTACTATCAGTATCAGACAGTAAATTAAGTATGCGCTAGGCTGAATAACTTCTGGGGCACAGAAATGAGAGAGATTAAATATGAAATTAAAAAAAGGGATCGAGACCGTTTTTTAAATGTTCTATTTTTGACCTGCGCACTAAATGAAATATTTGAAAAAGAAGTCAAAATCTGTTTTTTGTTGGACATTGAAAAACAAATAATGAAATAACAAATCATTTTCCCATTTTATTGTTTTTTTTTTTGTTCTTAATTGAAATTCAAATGAACGAATGGTACACGGACCCTACAGCTCAGATATGCTCGTCATTAATGAATTGGACAAATTAAAACTTTGACCTGATGATTGCACAAAACAAAACCTTAAGGGATCACCGATGTCAGTATGTAATTTTTCACAAAAAAACAACAACAAACAACTGACCAACCAAGTGACATTTCCCTCCACAGAGCCACGCTGCGAGCATGGTTATAAATCTAAAATTATTTTCTGATCAATATCTGGTGTGAATGTACAGTAGCACCTCTATCATAAACTGACACCGGGCACAATGATGATGACAGTCAGTCTCTTTTTCAAGCATGCCTCCAGGATATACTACAGTAGAGTACAAACGCCACAGCATCAGTAACCAAGACACTCCTGGTAGAAGAAGAAGAGAGGAGCATGAAAGAGAAACCGAGGGATCAGAGGAGAGCAGAAAGAACTGAGAGACAAAGGCTGTATAATTCAATAATAACTGGTTTGATTCCTTTTGTCAAGTCATCAAATTTTAATTTTAGATTTAGTGCATTTAGCTGTCTCATCAAAAGCTTCTAATGATGACAAAGCTGTGCTGTATTTCACAGTGTTTTTCTGTAATTTTCATACAGAAGTTTGGATTTCCTATGATCTTAATCACTACCAATCTTTATAGACACACAAAACTGAAGGATAACTTTACAGAAACATCGAGGTCTCCATCCGTGCAGTAGAAATTTCCAGAGAAATCCAAGAGACAGAGCTTGACATTTGTGCCTGAACCCACTGTTATGTATGGAACAGGACTGGACAGAAAGGCGATGAGCAAAATACGACATGACATGATAAATCACGAACCGTCCCAAATCACATCCCTGCTCTCGCAGTAATTGGAAGTACCACATAGTGTACTTGCACATATGTGCATACGAAACATGTGAGAGTCATGTAGTGTGTGCAGCTTTACAGCAAGCGGCTGCATGTCTGTCATCAATTATTAATAACCATGTACATGTACGTATATAGTTCATACAGTACATGCCCTGCATGTAGTCTGAATTTATAATTGGAGGCAGGACATGTGTGAACAAGAGTGTGGATGAGAAAGGACACATTGCGCATAGCATGCTCCGCACATACAGAAACACTCTCCGTTCCTGCATATAAAAAGCCTGTACGGATTGCCCTTTAAATCTTTTACCAGTACTCCCTTAGAGAAGCAATCAATTATGAGAGTGAGGGGTCATCAGACCAAAACGGGCCAACATGGTTAAATACAAGCTGGAATAATGGCTGCATAATGAAATTAATACCATTCCCCGACAGTCACCTTGATGCATGATTGAGAAGCATGACACGTGTCTGAATGAGCGGTCCCGTCAATCAGCTGTGCAGAAGTGGCCAGAGAGTGTGATAGGACGTGTGTATGTGTGTGTGTGCTTACTTAAAGACTTATTGTCCTTGTGAGAGTTTCCCAGCCTGATACCCTTGTTTCAGACTCTTCTAAGCCGACAACAATGGATTTTGATTATGGAATTATTCTTCTTATAGGGAGTGAATGCATGAATTAACTCAATTGCGCCCGTGTTGTGTGTGTGTGTGTGTGTGTGTGTGTGCCAGGAGCTCCTCCTGTGGTTCTGGCTAATGGCATATTAATCCTCTGGGCTGGGATCTTAACTGTGCTTAAGATAGATATGCTGGAAATGAACAGGTTTAACAGAAATATTAGCTAAGACGTCTTAAGACATGAAATTTAAGACCACTTCACAGTGGCCTAAATCCATCATTACAAAATATACTGCTGATATTTTATAGTTTTGGAAGCTGTGTGACTTTCAAAACAATAACACTCCGCTTTATTTATTATGTGACTTCTAGCTCAAAGTTAGAAACAAAGATATACACAAATCTGGATTGACGAGACTTCGTAGTTAGAAGAGACGACGCACACTGTCTGTCATGGTAAAGTGCCCTTGAGCACAATAATGAACACAGTCACTGTAAGGTCTGCATTTGAGCTATGCAAGATGGCCTGTACATAACATTGCAATATTTTTAGGCTATATCACAATAACAAGCCTTGCTGTCCTACCTGCCTTCTTGAACCTGTCCAGCAGGCCTTGCCTGACTACCCTCTGCAGGTTGAAGTAGTCATCCTCCTCATCTGGGCTCTTTAGGTACAGAGGAATGTGCTGGAACACCAGGATGTGTTTGGGTTTGGGTTCCTGTACAGACAGATGTGAGGGGTTGGGTTCAGCACCAATCCCCAAAGACAAAATTTTAATTGTTGTGTCTAATGGCTGCAGCAATTATCCAAAACGTCCAGACATGGCAAAGGGGAGACATTATCTAGCTGCGCGTCTCCATAAATCAGACAAGAATAGAATCAATGTCGGTGATGCAATTCTACCGTTGAGGAGGAGGCTCTGCTCAGCTGCTCCTCCAGCCATATCTCCTGGGCCTCCTTCAGATGAGGGCAGGCCGAGGCATCATAGAACAATTGGGAGTTCAGAACCAGGCAGAAGACACCACCCACCTGAGACAGAAGAGATGTGGTAGATGTTAGTGAACTACACCTTATCCATTTTTCAAACTATAACAACAACTTACATAGAAACAAGGGGTTCACTTTATAGTGCATTTTCTATTTCTATACATTTCTATTCACACAAACACCTCACTCCTAACTTCCGCACAGAAGATCAATGGCAAATCATTTTATTCAAAGAATTCCACTGCTACTGTTTATACACGGATCATTTCATGGGCAAAGTGAGCATGTGTACAAAGTTTTAAAGCTTTTAAAGTGGGTTCAAGTGGGTACACACATGTATACAGGACTCTGTATATATGGGAGTAGGCCTACATGTATGTTAATGCTGGGCGGAAGTTAAGTAATGACAGTCAAGAGCCAACAGAGATTTCAACATGAAAAAAAAAAATAAAAAACACAATCCCACACAGGTGGGCCTGTAAAAACTGTTTTATAATGCTCTGTGGCTCTGGAGGAAGTCTGAAAAAATAACGCGGATGATGTCATGGCAATTTTAGTCTGACTCACCTGATGTAGACTGTGGCTATGAGCCTGCCATTGGCCGGCTATTTAGGCCAGCATTTCCCATCCTTCTGCTATCTCCTTTTTACCATTTTTTAAAAATCCCCTTTGCTAATGGAAACAAAAACAACCTCAGAGCTAACAACCTACATGCCTACATGGCAAGTTTTGAGGAAGATTAAGGCATGCCTGCTTTACTCTTTTGGTGAACTGGTGTTAAGATTTACAAAGCCTAAATCAACCAGTGAATGCACCTCAGAAAAGCCCAGACTCCGTCTTATAGGACTCTTACACCCGAAGTTCATCTGTTCTGACACGGCCAGTCAGAGTTGATTTGCCACATCTTTTGAAGCGTCTCCAGTCAAACAATACCTGAATTATATCCTTTTTGCACCGAGGGTCCGATCCCAGACTGTCCTGACACCCTGACAGATGAGCAAACGTTTTGTTGATAACGGAGTCGTCAATGGAGCTTCTCTCCTCTCGGTGAGTTTTCTCAGTAAGCATGAGCTTACACAGCAGCACCACTAACACCCAACAGTAACTGGGTTTCCATCCAAATGTATCGCAAATTTTAAGTGAATTTTGTGAAAACGCGCAAAAGAAAATGTGACTTTATGCACATTTCCATTCATTATTGTTTTGCGACTATTGGGAGTCAACAGGTTGAGCAGTAGGTGGCGCTTCTCGTGAAAAATAAAAATAAAAATGCAAAAGAACACCCGTAGAAGAAGAGGGCGCCGTGAGATGACGTCATTGAGAGTGTCTCATGTCCACAACTGATGTAAACAGCTACTGGCACATCCATGACTACGACAAGATGGAGAGATTCCTTGGGAACTTCTTGGCTATTGCGAGAGTTCTCATCACACTCAAATCAGCGTTATCAGCGTAGCCTACATAATGCTGTCTGTGTTGGTACACCAGGAAGCGCACATGATATGTATTAGGTCGGTATTCAACACGTCCAGTCTATTCAGGTAAGTTGTGAAATAGCCTACACCTCACCTGACACTGGAGTAATTACCTCTCTCTAAGTTCACACAGTTGTGTGTGTGAAGTAGAAGTGGGATTCGGTAGCCTACGTCATCGTTTATTCACTAAATCTGTTTCCATTGCCAAAAATCGCACTTCCCTAATATCGATACGCTGACTTTTCCACCCCCTCCAAGCGTAAAAACTTTTTTGCGATATTTCGGCCTTTTTTCGAATTTCTGGCGTTTCCATTGAAGTTTTTTTCTGCAATTGTTGAAAATGCGAATAAAAATAGGTGGATGGAAACCCAACTACTGAGCCCTTAAACTGTCCCAACAAACTCACACAGATAACGATATGGTTTGACCAGTTAATAACCATTTGGTAACATTAGCTGTGTGATGCTAACAGTTAGCACTGCCACTGTGTGTCCCTCCCCCAACACTGTTTTACAAGGGCACAGTCACTGTATTTTGGCCTTTATCGCCACCCAGGATTTTTTCCCCTGTAGCAGAATGATAATATGGTGCTTCCAGACCATCTCCACAGCGCTGACATGTACAGCGCTGTGGAGATGGTCTGGCTCCATGAGACTGAGCATTTACCAGGCAGCATTCTGGGTGCGATGCAGTGTGCCATTTTGAGCTGAACTTTTATCGCACACCCTGTTTCTATTTACTCCTGTTGCTCGCTTTGAAAGTGCAATACTGGACGAGGAATGGCTGATTCATGATTGTTGAAATGAGGAATTATCTACATGATTCCTCCTTTTTCTTTACAAAAACCAGCATAAGGTGGCAGCTAGATGGAGGGAGATCGTCAGACCGTCAGGGAGCTGATAGTTTACTGCTAATGACCATTGCTATTAACAACCTACTTGTTGTTGGCTATATTGTATGTCATTTCCAGTAAATATTGCAATATAATAGTCTGATCTCAAGTATACAGTTGAAAGGTACCTTGTTTGTTTACATAATGTAACAGAAATACATATGTAATGGATTCAGTGAGGAGCTCCAGTGTTGTGCTATGCAATGCAATAGTTGCTTGCTTGCTGTTGGGACACAGTGTCATTATGTTCCCCTCTGAAGTGAATGCTGAGTCAAATGCGACTAGATGTTATGGTTACTACTGCTACTAAATGTTTTAGGCATTTACCCAGAAGCTGAAATAGTCGTTCCCCCAAGCGCTGCAGTACTGCTCCAGTGTCCTTGGAGTAGGAGTGTTGCCCAGGTCATGGTTCCCACTGACAAACACCAGCGGGATGGTGGGATCTGTCCCCTTCAAGGCCGCCTTCAGGTCTTGCTCCTGACTCTCTCTGAATGGAGTGTCTGGGGAGGAAAGGGGAACTTATTAGTTGGTAGTTACAAACATCCGCACAGAAAAACAAAACAACACTGATTTGGATCAGAAAAATCAATATTGATAAAAACATGTTTCCTGGAAAACATAAAATGAGAGAAAAAGGGATGAAAACTGTCAGAATGTGAGTGTGAAGGATACTACAGGTGAGAGTCGCCTAAGGGAAAGGGGATTATTTGGATGATAACGATGACAGCCCAGAAAATGATCAATAGTCTGTACAGCTCGACTTTACATCACCATGGTTACTGACATGATGAGTAGTGCTCTGGTGGAAACCTCCCAGGTCCACATGGCAAACCCAACCTTTCGGAGGTGAGCGGTTCACTGGCCCAAGACACATGAGGCTATTGGTTTTACAAGGTGTTCATTTGTTTGTGTTACAATCAGGAGTTATATGCCAAAGGACAAGCATACAAAACATGACTTCAGTCCCAGTGTAGGTAAAAGACAGAGAATGGGAGAGACTCAAGCCTATTCATAATTTAGAAAGCATATCAAACAAACCTATCAGGCCCTGCTCTTAAGTTATTCCTTCCTCTCCCTCTTCTCCTCTCTTATTTCATTTCCCTTTTATTCATCTGAGTAATTATTTTACTGGCCTACTTTTGGAGCAAACGTTTCCTTGGATGTTTGGATAGGACTCATTACATAAGAGCCTTTTCCCGACAGAACATCTTGTGCATGACAGAGCGAGAGAATGCAGAGTTTAAAACGCATCCCTGATAAAAGGTAAAACGTCGTTTTCACTTGTCTCTCTTCTATAATTAAGCCAGCCCGTCAGACTTCAAATTGTCAATACAAACACACAAACATGCACTAAAATACAAAAGGAGACATGAAGGCCTTTTTTGTTATGTAAAACAGATTCTGTGTGACACTTTGATTACTGCATTCCCACTCAGGTTTAGAGAGTAACTGCTTCTGTGAAATATACATTTACAGTATAACAATTTCCTCACATATAAAGAGGTTGCATTTCAAGAAGAACAATAAGATTAGTGTTATAAAATGTTCAGCGATCATCGCTAGCAGTCAACAATGTCGTAAAGTACTGCAACTCACTGGCGAGCCTGACATGGGCTGATGACACCTGAGGGTAAATCTTGTAATTAGTTGAGCTGCCAGCACAGCTCCAGCAAGTCTCGGTCAATATCTACTACTTGGGAAAGCTATATGTAAGCTATAATTTACAACATGTCATAGTGATCATGATTATTCCTTTCATCAAACCTTACAACACTCATGCACAAAATGCTCTTTTTATTTAACATAAAAATAGAAATGCAGAATAGAAGGAGCATGAGGGTGCAGTTTGTTTTGGTAAATTTCTTTCGTTTTGTTCTAGGAAACTACTTCTGTGCCACAAAAAGTGAAACTGAAACTATTATACTATATATTACTAGAGATGTACCAATACCACTTTTTCCTTCCTGAGACCGATGCCGATACCGAGTACCGATCCGATACCAGCGCATAAAATAAAAATGGTAGGGATGTCCCGATCCAATATTCAGATCGGTATCGGCCGCCGATATTAGCAAAAAATGTGCATCGGCATCGGATTGGATCGGACTGCATGGAAAAATGCCAATCCAAGAACTCAGATCCAGTTTTTCACAGACTCCGATCCAGGTTTTCCGATCAGCCCAGCACTTTGCGATTCAAGCAGTCCATTCCAGTGATCTGCTCCAGCTCTTACTATCAATCCACCAGGCCAGCCTGCAGATGGCAGACACACATGGACGGAAGGGTAGGAATAGTAGCGGTCAGTTTAGTTAACTGACTATTTGTTTTCTGCTCTGGTTTTTTGAGAGTGATATTTTTATTCGGTTTACACTCTTACTGTTTAAGTAAAGAGCACTGATGGCATTGTTTCGGGCACAATTAGTGAAACTGGAGCCATGGATGGACTATTGCTTGTTTAAACAATTGTACAATATTGTGTGTGGTTTTTTGTCCCCTCTGTTGGTCCCAGGAAAGAGCAGCACCAGGCTGGCACTGACATTACTAAAATAACTGAAAAGGAAAGGCTGCATTGTTTGTTAAATGTCAACAATGTCTTGTGGTGTTAATCTTTTTTTTATTTAATAGGTGGCCAAAGCACAAGTGTGTGGACTCTTGTTGCTATTTTAATTTCAATATTAAACATTTTAAAGATTTCTTGCAGCCAAAGCAAACCAGCTATATTTTTTATTTAATGTTAATGTTCAAGTTTAAAGTTTGTTTATTTAACCCTGTAAACAATAAATGGGTCAGTTTCTCATACCAACTGTTGTGGATCATATCGCTTGATCAAACCTTTTCTAACATGACTGACAACAAAATAAGTGAATATGTATAATACGCGCTTGGATCGGATCGGTATCGGCCAAAACTCAAGTCTGTAATATTGGTATTGGATCAGAAGTGGAAAAAGCTGGATCGGGACATCCCTAAAAAATGGATGGGATATGAATTGTTTTATGTCTCAACTCCTAAAACTCTATGTAAAATATTAAGAAATAAATACATAATAGTAGAATGAATGCCATAAAACTTTTTTTTATTATTATTATCCAGTGTTGACACAGGTTGAAGTGCAGCTACACAATTTGGTAAAAAAAGACATTTTAAAGGCTACAGTAGAATGTAGGGCTTGTATTAACAAATACAAGAATTTTCACCAGATGACTTAAAGTAAGAAAATTAAAAAATAGTGGGCTTTTACTCACCACAACTACAGAGGCTACCAGCTTCATTTGAAACAGACTACATTATAAAAGGGCCGTTATTTATCATTCCCTCTGTGTTTTTATATTTTTACTTCATATCCGCTCCCGTTGCCTTGATAAAGTTAATATATCGCGCCGTCATTTCAAACTCAACACTTCCTGAACTTGTTTCAAATTAAAAGCCCCTCATAACCTCGGCTGAGAGAATCCTTCCATTTTCTAAATAGGCTTTTATTCTGAAATGTTTGTAGGAACTAGTTGTGGAGAAACCAGTGACTTTTATGTTTACATACGGTGCTTCAAATGTAGCTCCTGCCGTCTGCTGGCGCTTTTTACGTTACAACAACATTTCTGCTGGTACATGAACAGACACAGTGACTCAAATAACAGTAAAAGTAATAAAAATAGGACAAGAATAACCCGATGACGTCACACACATCGTGAAAGTCTACCGGGGATAATTGGTGTGTACCATCGTGTAGTGTGTCATGTCTGTTGGTCAAGTCACGGCATGAGTTTATGACTCCACAATCATGTAATGTGACAGTGTGTGACTTTCAGAACGGGCAGAAAAGTCGTGTAGTGTGTACCAGGCATAAATCCTCCTTTACTGTTTCTCCCTCTTGCATGCCGCTCATTTTCAGTGTGTGACTGCAGCGTGTGCATGAGAGGGGGAGGGGCTGCTGTTATCAGAGAGGGAGAGAGAGGCGAGCGGAGCGGAGCAACGGGCAGAACTTCAGAGCTGCTTTTCTGAAACAAAACAAAAGTTAACATGTTCTACAAAAAGAGAAAACATTGCATGTCCTGCGATGTGACTATTGCACATGCGCACATTGCGATGGCGATGTTCAAATGATATGTGCGTGGTATCGGATTGGTCATAGGCTGTACTCGCCGATGCCCGATGCCGCATTTTAGGTAGTATTGGAGGCATTTCCGATACTGGTATCGGTACAACTCTATATATTACATTTTGTGATGCACATCAAGATACCCTACTTGTCAGTTTACAGTGTTATCAACAAGGTGCAACCTTTGGGGCCTGGAAAATGAAGCCAACTGAAAGTGCCACAAAGTGCAGTTCCTTGAATGGCCACTTGAGGCTGGCTCCAGAGGTGAGCTAAACCCTGTAGAGGGTTGTTGCATAGAGATGATACACCATCTCATCTAGTTGTGTTGGTCTAAACCGGCAGGGTTTTAGAACATTGCAGAATGGCACTTTGTAAGTAGCTGCCTGTTTCAACTTGTCTTTTCGCAAATCTTTGGTCTAAACTGGGCTTTAGTCAGATCCTTCACTCCATCCTCCACAGCTCCACCCTTTTGTCCAAATACAGTCACTTCTGGCTCTGTAAAAAACAAGATGGCTATGGCTGTAATGCCTAACTTGAGGCTTCAAAACCGGAGTCCACAAACCAGTGTGTGATGTCACTGTGCTACCTCCATTATTTTTACACACTCTGCAATAATCAGTGATTATCAATAAACAGATCAGCGGTATTAGCAGTGGTTTCCAGTGGATGATGTTTAGCACAGTTTGAGAAAAACTAAATATCTAATTTGGGCTCTGGGGAGCTGCCAGTCTGAAGCAAAGTGTTAAAGAAAACAGAAAAGCCACAACAATGTAGACTCATTATTCCACAATTACAATATTTGACCGCTGCCACAATTACATACAAACAAAGGCAGCCACACTAATGAAGCTGGGACGGAGAGTTAGGGGCATAAATGTTGTCATTTGAAATGCTGTCGCAACTGTTGCAGTTGATAGCTCTCAACTAACCCTGCTGTTACAGACAATTGAATTTTGATAGATTTGAACCATTTATTCACAAGTGGAGATTTGTTTCTATTTTTATAAGGTCAGTTTCTCAAAGTATTTTTACAAGCTTAGATAAATCTAAAATGGAGCCTGTGAGCTAAAAACGGAAAAAATGTTTCATGCTTGACACCACCCGAGTGTGAATGTGTATAATTGAGTGCCTGGGAAGCAGGGAGGGGCTCACACAAGACCATGTTGCCACATTTTACTTTTTTGAATACATAAATATGAAAAAAAAAAAAAAAAAACAGCACTGGTATCCACAGAGAGTAGCAGGGACGCTGCGTTGCCTTCTGCTTCCTTACACCTCCAGCTGCTTGCCCTCAACTACAGCCATCCGCTAACACGGCAATATCCATGAATCATCCTTCAGCACTACACAGCGTAAACCAATCCTCCGCCATACAGTTCCCTCATCGATCTGCATTTGAGACAC